GCAACACTGTCCGAGGGGACACGAGGGGCTGACACCCCACCTGAGGAGAAAACTTCCTGCCATGCAGATGGTCAGGGGGCGAACGGCCCCGGGAGTTTGTGCAGCCACATCTGTGGGGACTTTGGAGAGCAGTGGAAGGAGCCCTGGACAGCATGGCCTGACCTCGGAGTTGAGGCTGCTTTAGGGAGGCCCCTTCTCAGCTGAATCCTCCAGTGCTTCCATGTGCTTGGCTTTGCTTTCACGGAGCTTGTAGGAAAGGGGGAAGAGCTGTTTTGGGAGCAAGCAGGGGAAAAATGATGCAGGATCAGACATGTTTCAGATTAAATTTTGGATGCCTTAGGACTGCTCTTGTGGTTCCTGGAAGCTGTGAGGCTCACCTGGAGGAAGATAATCTGTGCTTGCAGAAGGAGTTGGACAGGGTTGACATTAAGGTATGGAAAGCCTGTCCCTACAGGGATAAACCTGGGGGTGCCAGTTGCTCCCTATACATCATGAGAATGGACAAAACAGTCTTCTGGGAGCCAGGATGACAGAGACCTAAGGAAGCAGCAGTTACATCGGGCTTTGATCTGCCTCTGTCCCTCCAGCCCCTGCCCCACAACCCACCATGCTGAGGCAGAGCTGCCTCTCCTGAGGGTTTCACTGCTCACCGGTCAGGGGGGCTGGGGCTCCTCTCTCTCTGCTACATTCGAGGTCTTCCTGGTTTAAGAAGACTCCCCACGCACCCCTGGTGCAATTCTCGACTCCAGAGCAGGTCTGTGGAGCAGTTCACCTGGCTGCCTGGGCTGAAATGGTGGCCATCAACTTTTCAGTGATGCCATCCTTCCTGGCCCCTCCACACTGAAGCAGAGCTGCCTCTCCTCAGGCATCCACTGCTTCCTGCTCAGGGGCTGCTGGGTACCTCTCTCTGCCCTTCAGGCAGGGTTTTTCCCACTTCAGAAAGCTCCCCATGGTCCCCTGGTGCAATTCTGGGCTCCAGAGCACATGTGCCTGAGCAGTTCACCTTTGACCCTTGCCAGACACCTTCCTTTGGGAAGATGAACTATTCCATGCACCTTTTCATGGAGTAGCAAGCAAGGCAATACAAGGAGCGTCACAGCTCACAAAAAAGGTCGGAGGGGCAGTGTGGGTGCTTAGAACCGTGCTGTAGGGAATCA